ATTTTTAATCCCGTGAGCTAGGAGTTTTCCAACGTACGTAAATATCTTTGTGTTATTTAGTTACTGCTGTGTTATGTAGAAACTGATAGAGAACAAGGTTTTTTATACAGTTTGATGGAATCTTAGTTTACATCACATCTTTTACACCACCTATTCACTGGTGCAGTTTAGATCAATGTTTCTCGACTTGGAGGATGTGACTAGTTCGAATCTCCATATCCATTTAGACAAATATATAGTTAATGAGGAAGGTTAAAATGAACTGCAAAAATAAATAATCCAGATAGAACGAACCCCCGACCTCTAAAGTAACAGACGAATGAGGCATCCGACCAGCAGGCTGTCTACATTGGTTTTGGAGTCCGTGTCGTTGTAATATGTTAAAAGTCGTTGTGATTCACTTGGTTGGGGCATGGTCAGTCAGGTTGAACAATACGTCAATAGTGATGTCGTCTCAAGGAGTAATTTTGCGGATAGTCACTCAACTAATTAATTAAAATTGTGCAAAATTTACTTTTCTATATTATATAATAGAAAATTAACTTTATTTTTTGTCACTTTCACCTACAAATTAAAGTTACTTTTCTTTATTTTGTAATAAAAAAGTCACTGTATTTTGACACTTCAGCAACAAACTCATGCATGTTGGATGATACGAGGAGTTGTGTCTGCCTAATTGGCTAAGCGTGGTTGGATTTGGTATGGGATTACTGTTGGGTTAGGGCCAGCCTAAATTTGGCCTCCACAATAATATTCATGCTAAGTGCCCTCACAAAGAAAATAGTGAGCGTAGAGGTAATACTTAATACACACTAGCTACTAATTAACTAACTTAAAATTCGTAATTTGCCACTGCATGTATGTATATATTTGTGACGACCCGGTCAGTCGTCTCATGAGTTACCGCTCCGTTTTCCCCATTTCTGCTTCTTTATGCTTCGTTATCCGTGTTTTATGTGATCAAGTTGATTAGTTTGCGTTTGGAGTGGATTTGGTAAGAAATGAGACACTTAGCCTCTTTTAAGAAGGTTTAAGTTGGAAAAGTCAATCGGATGTTGACTTATGTGTTAGAGGGCTCGGATGTGATTCCGATGGTTCTATTAGCTTCGGGAGTTGATTTGTGACTTAGGAGCGTGATCGGAATTGGTTTTGGAGGTCCGAAGTAGAATTAGGCTTGAATTGGCGAAGTTGATATTTTGGCGATTTCCGGTTGGTATGTGAGATTTTGATCCGAGGGTCGGAATGGAATTCCGAGAGTTGCTGTAGCTTCGTCGTGTCGTTTTTAATGTGTGTGCAAAATTTCAGGTCATTCGGACATGGTTTGGTTGGGTTTTTGATCGAAAGCGTATTTCGGAAGTTTTTAGAAAACTTAGGCTTGAATTCGATGTGAATTGATGGATTTGGGGTTGTTTGAGGTGTTTTGATGATTGGAACAAATTTGAATGGGGTTTTAGGATATGTTGGTGCTTTTGGTTGAGGTCCCGGGAGCCTCAGGTGAGTTTCGGGTGGTCAATCGGACCATTTTTCATGTTGAAATGTTGCAGAAATTGATCATCAGCTGTTGCAGAAGAATTAGCCTTCGCGATCGCGTGAGGTCCCTTGCGATCGCGTAGAAGGAAATTGGGTTGGCCTGAGTTTGGCCTTCGCGTTCGCGTTCGAGGTCTCGCGTTCGCGTATAAGTAATTGGGGGTCCAGTGGTTTTGTTCTTCGCGTTCTCATCAGTGGGGGCGCGTTCGCATAGGTCTGGGAAAGCAAGCATCGCGTTCGCAGTTAAGGTATCGCGTTCGCATAGTGTATTTTGAGGTCTTGCAAATTTTTCTCTTCGCGATCGCGAGTCTTGGGCCGCGATCGCGATGAAGGAAGTTCAGTGCTGGGCAGTGAGTTTATTAAACATTTCATCCGCGATTTTGAGCCATTTTTCCTCCATAGCTGAGCATTTTGGGAGCTTTTTGAAGGTGATTAAAGAGGGATTCAAGGAGAATTGATTGGAGGTAAGATTTTTGAACCTAAAACGTGATTCTATTGTGAAATTAACCTAGAAATTCATGGAACTTAAGCAAAAATGGAAGAAACTAGGGCTTGGGATTTTGAAATTTGATTTGGGGATTTGAAGGACCAATTGGGGTCGGATTTGAGAACTTTTGGTATGTATGAACTCGTGAGGAGATAAGGAACCCGTAGATGTGATAATTTCTGAGTTTCTAGAAGTGGGCCTGGGACTCGGGTTTTGCTAATTTCGGGATTTTTGATATTTTTCAATTGTTTTTGCTTGGGCTTTGTTCCCTTAGCATATTGTGACGTATTCATTCTGATTTTGGATAAATTCGACGCGCGTGGAGGCCGATTTGAGGGGCAAAGGCATCGCGAGCTAGAGATTTTGCCGGTTCGAGGTGAGTAATGATTGTAAATGATATTCTGAGGGTTTGAAACCCCGGATTGCACATCGTAATTCTATATTGAGGTGACTTGCACGCCGGATAGCAAGCGTGGGGTAGAGCACCGTTGGGGGCTGTGACTTGGTCCGTCCCGATTGATGAATTTACCGTGTATTTGACTGAAACTTACTTGTTATCATCATGATTTGGGTTGATTGCCATATTTCGGCTTCGTGCCAACTATTTGAACCCTTCGGGGATTATTATTACTGTTTCTTCACTGTTTTGACTTATTACTTGAACTCAGTCATACTGTTTTCCACTGTTTTACAACTCAGTCATTTTTTACTCAATTTTGAGACTTAAACGATATTTCTAAATGATGTTTTGGGCTGAGAACTATTGTTTTACTAATGCCCGAGGGGCTTGTGATGATTTTATCTGACTGAGTGAGGCCGATGGCCTGTGTTGTGAGGATACTATGGGATCGGGCTGCGTGCCGCAGCAGTGTTATACTGGTACTGATATGAGGCCGAGGGCCTGGATTTGATGCCACGAGATGGCTTGATCTTACGCTTGGGCCGTAAGGGGCCCCTCCCGGAGTCTGCACACCCCCAGTGAGCGCCATCGACGATATATGGATCGGGCTGCACGCCGCCGCGATATATGGATCGGGCTGCACGCCGCAGCGGTTACTATATGATACCGATTGATGTGTTTACTTTGCTTCATTTGTCTGCCATTATCTGTTGTCTGTGTTACTTCACGGGGTATCTACCTGACTGCCTGACATTATCTGTTGAGTGAGTGTTGTGCCCAAGGGGCGGATTTCTGTGCTTATCTGCACTATTTTTTTTTGCATTCATTTGCATAACTGTTGAAAAAGCCATTTTCAAAAGAGTCTTAAACTGAGCTAAGGCGTTTCCTAAAGATTTCACAGCTTCATTATTTTTCTCAAAAAGTTTTACACCGCTCTATACAGCATGATGGTTTGTCTTACGTGATTTCCTACTGCTCAGTTATTATTTACCTTTATTACTCACTGAGTTGGAGTACTCACTTTACTCCCTGCACCTCGCGTGCAGATGCAGGTATTTGTTTCCCCAGTAGCGGGTTCTGAGCTGATCGGAGGCTAAGTTATCAGAGCTTAGCGAAGTGACTGCCAGCGTTCGCAGCATCGCGTTTTCTCCCTTTTGTTATCAGTCCTATTTTGTATATTACAGGCCTTGTAGTCGTATTCATACTCTAATAGATGCTCGTGACTTGTGACACCCCGGTTTAGGCCGTGTTTGGGTTGTATTCCGCACTTAATAAAGAAATCTCTGTTTAGACTGTGGTTATTTTAATTATGTTAAAACTGTGAATCAATATTTAACTATTCTGAAAAGGCGAAATGGGTTGGTTGGCTGGCCTTGTCTTCACGAGAGGCGCCATCACGACCGGATCGGGATTTGGGTCGTGACAATATTCATCAGTACTGTTTGGAATATAAATGATTGTGTTTACCCTTAATATTGGATAACAATTAAACTTATAAATAGATTTTAAAGACACGTGATTTCACCTAATATTAATTGATAAATGTATAGATTAATAGTAGAAATTAATTCGAGTTAAAGCAAACCAATGTTGAAACGTAATTTGGCCTTCGAGCTTGAGTGCTCTCGAACTGATCAGTACCCGAAGAAATAAGCAAACTGATGAACAAGAACATAAGCTAAACAGAAAGTATTGTATTCACTACTAGAAAATGGCAGATTTCCGACGGCCAAAACGGTCGGAATTCGGTCGCAAATCACGTATTTCCGACTACTTTCCGACCGAAATTGGTCGGTCGGAAAAATGTTGGTCGAAACACAATTTTCGACCGAATCTGTCGGTGATTTCCAACCAAAGTGGTCGCAAATTTCAAAAAGGTCAAACAACCAAATAATTCACGTTTCCGACTAAAGTGGTCGACATTTACCGACTGAATCGGTCATAATAATACAAGTAAAATTAATAATTAAAAATTAAATTTTATTTAATTTCCGACGGAATCCGTCGAAAATTATTAAATATTAATTTTTTTTTTGTTGAATTTCCGACCGAATCAGTCGGAAATTAATAATTAAAAATTAAATTTTATTTAATTTTCGACGGAATCCATCGAAAATTTATGAATTTTTTTTTACATTTCCGATCGAATCAATCGAAAATCTGAGAATTTATGGTTAAATCTGGGGAGCTGTCTGACCGTTTTCGTCGAAATTCAGTCGGAATTTTGTATAAAACTGGGCAGAATTATGCCCAATTTCGAGCTACACCACATGTCAAACTATCACAAACAAAAAAATACCAACCAACAATACATTAACAACAATTTAAACCAGCGATACATTAATACAGTAATACGAACCAATAATACATTAACACAATCTAAATTAACAATACATTAACAAATTCTAAACCAACAATAATGCCAACCATTAACACAACTTAAACCAACAATACCAACCTTTAAACCTAACAATTTTGGGCATAAAAACATCCAAATAGTAGCCCACATTCAAGTTTAAAAGTAATACATAAAGTTGTCTCTCACAATCAAGTTTACCAATCAACCAAAACAGCACAACTAAACTACTACACATCAGATTCAGTTTGTTCATCCTCATCATCAGATAAATCATGCCCATGTTTACGCATGAATTTCTGCATCTTAACAAATGTTCCGTATTGGGAGTCCAATATTTGCTTCAATTCACGGATTTCGTTTCTCATATCTTCCATCTGTTCTTGATTTTGAGGAGAAGAAGAATTGGCTAAGAGTGGGTTTGGATGACCTGTAGGTCGATGTACTCCTAGTCCGTAGACTCTACATTTGTTTGCTCCACCCGCTGCCTCTGTCCACAATGAAGCCATATCATCAGGTGTTGGTTGAGTTGAAGGAGGCTGAGTTTGTTGCCATTCTTCCAACCTTTTATGATAATCTTCCTGAAATGAAAAACATAACTATTATGTAAACAAACTAATATTAATAAACCATAAATAATTATGAAGCTAGAATTTTACATATGTGTCTGACGCACGCGTCTCCACCCAGTGTTCTCTTGTACCATCCTTCTTCTTTTTCTTATGCAACTTCTCGAAGACCTCAGCGTGACTCATATCTCGCCCTCTTTCCTTTTCCTTCATAAGAAAAAGTATGAGTTAGACTTTACAAACATAAAATTCTATATGTAAAACTAAGAAATTTTTTATAAATAATTACCATTCTTAGTTTATGGGCCTCAAAAGTAATCGAACCTCCTGTGTGCAACGAGCCACCTTTTTTAGAGGCACGGTTTGCCTTTGCTTGTTCATTCTTTGCCTTCCATTCTGGGGTATTCCATTTCTCAAGAAGTTTATCCCAAAAATCTTCTCTTAATCAGTCCGGCATTTTACCGGAATTTCGAGCAGCGCGCATAGTATCTTTAATCCTTATACAAACTTTCTTCTCGAAAATACTATTTATTGCATTTTGATGCTGAGGATGCCATGTACACCTTTTCTGCATTATAATAAAGTAACATTAGATGAAGACGATAATTATTAAATAAATATAATTAATTTTTACCCTAAATTGATTCCACATTTTCTCTCTGATGCTGTACGGTATCTTTCTCCAAGAAGTCCACGACTCATGATAAAATGGCTTCATAGAATCTGTAACCAAATGTGTAGCTTGAAAGGATGGCAAAAACCTGCATTAAAGTTAACATATATATAATTAATCAACATCTTTTAATTGCAAATAAATACTCCTTAATGTTAACATATCTAAAAGTAGATTTAAAACATAAAAATTTGTATAAGAAACTTATTACCCGTCCTTGTGGGGGACGATTATCAATCGATTATAACTATCAAATTGTACATCCCCTCCAAGATCTGCCTGCGTCTACGAGATGGTGCAGAAGCAGCACTAGATGTAGCTGGGCGAGAGCCTCCAATATCCAACCTAGATATGCTGGGAATGGATGATATGATGGACTGGAAGATGATGGAGCAACAAAAGACGATCATCATGCTGACTACCATGAAAGCTCGGGGATGCAGCAGCTGGTGAGCCAGTATGCTGACTACCATGAAAGCTCGGGAGTGCAGCAGCTTGTGAGCCAATATGTTGACTACCATAAAAGACCGAGGGTGCAACAGCTGGTGAGCCACCATGTTGACTACCATGAAAGCCCGGTGAAGATGGTATAAAAGGTGTGGGTACAAAGTTAAAAATGGTGTTACTTTGACTGCCTTTAGCAGGCATAGAATAATACTGAATTGAATTATTAGATGGAGGGGGGATAGTGAACATGGTAGATGGAAATGAAGTCGACTGAGGAGGATGAGGAAGAGGATGACTCATATTTGGCATAGTTGAGGAAGTTGGAACATATTGTTTTTTCTTCTTAGATTTCATTTTTTCCTTCCCCTTAGATGCCATATCTGTAATATAATCATAATAAAATACAAAACAAAAAATACAACAAGTGATAGTAAATATAAAATAATTAAACGGCTAAAGAAATAAATAAACAACCTAACAAGTCGTAAAAATATAAAATAACTTTGCAACATAATAGATAATTAAAGGAATAACATAAAATGTTTAACATGTCATAAAAAACATACAACAATTCTGCAAAATATTAAATGATTAAAGTCTTCATCATCGCCTGTTTCACTTTCATCTAGTAATTCTTCCTCATCACTTGTTTCATGTTCAACACCTCTATCTCGTCCTCATTTGTAGCAAGGACAGAAGGATCAAATTCTTCATATATCCCTTCATTATGCTGCAATTCATCTGCTAATTCATCATTAACTATTGATTCAACATTTGAAATGTCATTCTGGTACGCCACATCTAATGCATCTTCGACTACCACTCTACCCACGGGTTTGTTTTCAAAACTACCCGCCATGCAGACTTATTCTTGCTCAAAGGATAAGGAGCATAATACACTTGTTTCACCTTTTGTGCAATGACAAAGGGATCATAAAGTCTATATTGTCCCGTGTGTTTAATTTCAACTATGTTGTATTGAGCGTGCACCTTTGTACCTCTATTTGGTGTTGGATCATACCATTTACATCGAAAGAGTACCAACTTTTTCTTCGGCTAACCTACAGCATATTCCAATTCCAAAATCTCTTGAAGCACACCATAATAATCAACATCTCCATCACCTTTCGCCCACACCCCACTATTGTTGGTTTTCTTTCCATTAGACCATTCATCTGTATGAAACTTGTACCAATTGACCACGTATTTAAACATCATTCTTACTCTAGGGTTAGGTCCCTAAGCTATATCACGTAAAAATGGGTCTTTAATGCCATTAGTTGAATCATGAACCTATATATATAATTTAGAATTTTAAAAATATATATAATTAATTACATATAATAAAAATCATGTTAAATAATAAGTAACACTTACAAATTCTTTAAACCACTCTGAAAACTTGGGATAAACAAAATCTTGCCCATACATACCCACAAAGTAACTGCCATTATAATATTTATTAGTTAAATTAGTGGTATATTTAATATAAAAGTTCGTAATACATACGAATATATACTAACCTTATAATAAGGTTGGACCTCAGGGCAATTTAACAATACATGTGTTGTAGCTGACTTTAGCTCCATCTCAGACAACCTTCGCTTTGGACTATTTTTGGACCTCCTTTACCTGGTTGATTAAAAATGAAAAAGGGTGGTGCCAAAGGAACGATTTCGCCTCCATCGTCATGCCGATTCGGTCTATTTCTCAAACATGGCACATCATGTTCAAAATAGTATGAATAGAAATAAGATGTTTCTTTAGCCACATATGCCTCGCATATCGAACCTTCAATTCTTGATCTATTTTTTATGGTCCATTTACATTTGCCAATAGTCCTGCATAGTGTTATTTTTAGACAAAACAATCTTTAAAGCAAATATAAAAGGTAAATGATTAAATTTCATTACCTCTCGAAGGGATACATCCATCTACATTGAACTGGCCCTCCAAGCCGTGCCTCTTGTGCAAGGTGAATTGGAAGATGTTCCATTACATCAAAAAAACCAAGAGGGAAAAATTTTGCCAGCTTGTTTAAAGTTAAGATAATGTTACTCTCCATATAAATTAAGTTCTCCACCCTCAATGTGATAGAACACAAATCCTTGAAAAAATAACTTATCTCTGTAATCGGTTTCCATATTCGATCAGGCAATGCATTGAACGCAATAGGCATCAAACGCTTCCATGAAAATATGACAATCATGGCTTTTCATTGACGCCAACTTCCCTTCTTTCATGTCAACACACCTGGATAAATTTGATCCGTACCCATCAGGCATCCTCAAATTGTTAAACCAACTACAAATCTCTCTTCTCTCATCCAAGATGAACGTGTAACTGGCTTTGGGCTTCTGTATCTTGTTGTTAAAGTATGTCAGATACAACTCAATTCGCCTACAATATTCCTTTAAGTCCATCCTGGCCTTCAAGTTATCTTTGGTCTTGTTAGTAACATCCATAATAGTGTTAAACAAGTTGTCAAAAAAATTCTTCTCGATATGCATGATGTCCAGATTATGCCGAAGAAGATTGTGCTTCCAATAAGGTAATTCCCAAAATATGCTCCGGTTAGTCCAGTTGTGTGTGACACCATAACCTGGTATCTTAGATGGTGGAGACTCTGTTACTTTAGGCATATCCCATACTCTATTCCAAATTTCTTCTGAACACAAGCAGGCCGGTGGCTCCTCAAAATTAGTTCGGTTCTTCATAAATGCACTTGTATTTCGCCTAAATTCATGATTCATTGGCAAGAATCTACGGTGGCAGTCGAACCATGTATTTTTACCTCCATGTTTTAAAGTAAATACTTTAGTGTCTTCCATACAACAAGGGCAAGCAAACTTTCCAGCAGTCGACCACCTGGACAACATTCCATAAGCAGGAAAATTATTTATAGTCCACATCAAAGCAGCATGCAATCTGAAGTTTTGTTTGGTTGATATATCATATGTTTCCATACCTTGATGCCATAATAATTGTAACTCATCAATCAAAGGCTGCAAGTATACATCAATCAAACTTTTCGGATTGCGTGGACCTGGAACAATACAAGTTAGGAACAGATATGGACTTGTCATACACAACTCGGGCGGAAGATTATACGGAGTAACAAACACTGGCCAACATGAATATGGTGAAGCAGAGACAGCAAATGGAGTAAATCCATCTGTGCATAATCCCAACCTAATGTTTCTTGGTTCACTAGCAAACTCGGGGAACACCCTATGAAAATGCTTCCACGCTTCTCTATCTGACGGATGGTAGAATATACCAGGTGGCCTTCTATGTTCGTAGTGCCATCTCATATGAGGAGCAGAGCTCATTGATGCATACAACCTCTTTAACCTAGGTATACGAGGTAAGTAATGCATCGCTTTAACTAGAACTTTCTTTTTTGTATTGGCATTTATGACTTCCTTAAAACTAGGCTGATTACAAAATTTACAATTCTCTAGAGGTGCATTATCCTTATAGAATAATATGCAACCTTTCTCACAACAATCAATTCTCTCTGATGAAAGACCCAACTTAGAAACCAATTTTTTAGTAGTGTAGAAATCTTTTGGTAAGTCAATGTTACTCGGATTAAGTTCATTCATAAGCCCAATAATAGAATCCATGCCCGCTTGGGAAATAGAACTATCTGCTTTAATACTTAGCAATCTAACCGCAACAGACAACTTGAAATGCACCGAGCCTTCATACAATGGATGACTAGCTTCTAGTAACTGTTCATAGAAATGCTTAGCCTCATCATTTGGTTCGGAATGAACCCCAGAAAACGTCCCAAAAGCATCCCTCATCATTTTATTGTATCGAGAATTTTCAACATTATGCTCCGCAATGGGGCTAACCTCACCACTAAAAAAATTATGAAAGTTAGCATCATCTAAACTAGCATGATTCTCCCGTGAGTAGTCCATATATAATAATTTTCTACAAACCCTTTCTTGTAGAGATGGACTTTAACTTCGTCTGATTTCAATAACTTAACACATTTACATTTCACACAAGGACACCTAATCCTTCCACCAATAAGAAAATCATCAAGTGTTTGAGCCTTAGCAATAAATTCAGCAACCCCTTCATAAATTCATCCCTCAACCCCGCACGATTAGGATGATTCCTATTATACATCCATCTACGATGCACAAATTCCATCTACACAAATAGAAATCTATAAATGAGATATTTAAAGTAATTTGATTTATTTAAACTAGTTATTTAACACTCGAAATCTCACATTAATCCCTATTCTAAATAATATAAGTCTTTAAATATACTAATTAAATTTGAATAGCTTCTTAAATGTTCATATAATCCAAATTAATTAATGATTTCTCAACAAAATAAATAGTCGTAGCTAACAATTATTTAGACTATTTCAACATATAAAAAAAATTAAAGAATTCAAAAAGAATAAAACTATGGAGTAGTCATGCACATATGGTAATCTTTCTCTTCTTGTGGCTAACTCATAATTTAGAAACAAGGAAAATATAGTCTACTCTAAAGTCTAAAAGGCTAAACTGACTTCAATTATTTATTATAAGAAGCCATTTTTTTGAATACCTGAAAGCTTTTTCAATCAACACATGAAAAATATCACCAAAAGCATCTATCCTTACCAAACACAATCTAAACGGCCAATAAAAATTTTTAAACGGCCAAAGAAAGAGACTGTTAGAGGACAAATTGAACCAATTTTTTTCTCATACCATAGACAAGAAAGTTATTAAAAAATAAATAGCCAAAGCATTCAGAAACAAGAAACTGAAGAAATATTTAAAATGATTCATAGTTTCTAATTCCTTATTTTATGCTAAGAAGCAGCAGCCATAACCAGGATACAACATTGTAAGATGATTTTGTGTAGCATATTTTCCTTATCAGTCATATTTCCTATAGATGATTGGTCTAAATACCCAACCAGTGAGGTTACTAATTTTAATTTCAATTCATGCAGTAGAAATAAGACTGCACCACCTATCAACAACAGAAAACGAAAAGAGGACAAGAACAAGATGAGAAAAAAAGGTAAGGGTTTAAAGGTAAGATAAATACTTTAATACTCCATTCCTCTTTTAAAGTTGGATGGTTACTCTATATATCTCAACTTAATACCTAAATGGGAAAATATGACAGATTTCACATATTGTTTTATACTAAAACCACTAATTTTCTTTCTTAGTCAGTAATATTAACAATGCAATCATAAATATAATATTCTACAAATTGGTGTATACCAAAACAACAACTTTACTTCCTTAATCAGTAGTACAGATTATACACTCATGACTATTTATACTAGTTAGTCAACTAAAACATTCCCATGTCCTTTTTCTCATTTTCAATTTGCTCAAAAACTTAAAATCAATTGTTCACCATTTTAGTTAACTCAAAAGAGAAACTTCCTTCAAACAAATCCAATCTCCTTTATTTAAAAAGAATAAAACTTTTTATAAAACAATCATCTAAGCGAATAGAAAATAGGCTAATTTCGTAATTTTTAATTTTTAATTTCTCGGTTCTATACTAAGAAGCAGTATTTATAATAGCAATAGTGTATGTGTCACTCTGAGGAAGAGAAGAATTACATGGAAAAGAAATCTTGGAGACGGCCAAACGCAATCTAAACGGCCAATAAATATTTTAAACGGCCAAAGAAAACTTACCTAGCAGTGGAGACGGAGCTTCAGCGGGTTGGTGGCAGCAGTGGGTTTGGGTGGGGGAAGTTTGAGTGAGAGAGAGAAGAGAGAAGGAAGAAAAGAGGGAAAGGAAAAGAAAGATGGTCGCTGGTAGGGTTTTTAAAAAACCTTTCCGACTGAATCGGTCGGTAATTTGGTCAAAGTAGTCAACCTCGTTTTACTAAAAGTTTCCGACCGAATCGGTCGCAATTTTTTTTTAAAATTATTTCCGACCGAATTGGTCGCTAATAGTGACGCGGAATTTTCCGCCAAAATTTACGACGGATATAGACGGAATATTAGTCGTAACTATTATTAAGAATTGAAAAATAAATTTTTATGTAAATTTTCCGACCGATTCCGTCAGAAATTTTCGACCACTTTTTTCCGTCGGAAAATTGGCCGTTTTTTAGTAGTGATTGCTTTGATATGCGTGAATGCCAGATGTCTATAAAATGATTGGAACCCTCTTTATATAGTAGAGGAATCCTACCTATGGTACAATTCTATTTACGGAAGTAAATCCCATGATTAGCCTAAACAACCGTCCTTCATTTGATCTGTTCCGGGATTATCGCCATGATCTTCGACCAGTCACGGATATCTCGCCTTTCCGTAATTATGCAATCATCGATCTTGCCTGATGTCTATCCCATTTGACCTCGATAACTACTAGCCTCGATCTCAACAGGCATCTCGAACCCCGAACTCGGTACCCAGTCTTCGTGCCTTGTCTTCGATCCTTCGCCTCGACAAATCAGTAAAATCGGGTGGGCCCAATTTTAGCCGTATACAGATAATCCCCTCATTTTTTGGAGTGTAATGACAAGAAACGAATTGAGGCTTCGAACTTGCCCTTGATCCACCATGACGTAAGCATCGTGGCGTAAGCGACAGAGGTGACCGAAACGTCTTATCAGTTCGTATATCGAGGCATTCAATGACTGTCAGCTACTGTCGGCCATTTGGTTCTGAACCGTCATCTTCATCCTATAAAGGTGCTTTCCTTCTCTTTGCCCAAACTTTACTCTTAATGTCCGCTCCAATCTTCAAATCCTTTTACATCTTTAAAGTTTTTCCTTTCTGCATAATCTCCAGGTTTCGTTATCAACCTTCTCTTAGAACACCAAGTCTTATTCTCTTCTTCTTTCTCTAAACTCAAACCCAAAATGGCAAAAACATCCAAAACTGTGCCACAGAAGGAAAATGCTTCTTCGTCTAAGTCGGCTGATGAATAACCGGCGGCGGAGCCACTCCCCGAAGAATTCTTTCCTCTGCCGTGTGTCCTTGCCTCTGATTTCAAAGTTGAAAAGACCTCCTCGGTTCCAGGCCGATGTGAGCCGACGTTGAGGTACATATGCACAATCACTAGTGGCCTTTTAAAGCAAGTTAAAAAGGACTGCAACTGGGTAGACAAGCACGTGGTGGTGCCCTCGCCCGAAGAGTCAATCACTACGCGTGTGGAGGGGTATTTGAGTGTTTACACCTACCCTTTCATATTCAGTCCTCTAGATCCAATCATTGTGGACCTGCGAGAGGTACGAGGTCACCCTCAGCCAGAGTCATCCTTCTTTTTGGAGGATAGTGACATTGCTTTGATTTTTTGTGAGCAAAGTCGAGGGGATTCCTCGACCATCTCATTCGTATGTATGGACCCTGACTTTATCGAGGTGGGCTAATAAAGCTTCAATGTCGATCTTCGAATCTTCTTGAGCACGGACGACGACAAGGACCGGGGTTGGATGAGCTGATTTGTCCGAGTGAAGACCTCGGACCTGATCCCAGCCGAGAGCATACCATTTCCAGAGAAAGGGAATATGAAACGTGAGTATAATTCCTCCTTTTAACTTCTGCTTATTATCTCCTTTTTTTATCCTTTCTTACCCGTGTTTTACTTGGTGCAGTCATTGCCTAGATGTCGGGTGCAATTCCCCATCTAGAAAACTAGGTCAGATAATTGGTGTCGACGTCTACACACGCTAAGCGTGTATGGCGCGAATTGTCGAAGGGTCGGTGGGAGGCGTGAAGCCATGGTAAGTTCTCGTATATCTCGATAACCTTGATCGTTGTCTGAATTTCTCCTCATACTTATTTTTCATTTGCAGGTCTCGAGAAGGATGTGCCGATGAGGCCTCCGTTTGCTGAGGAGGATACTTTTCCCCCGGGCCCGAAACCGGTGAAGGATAAGAAGAGGAAAAGGATCTCAACTTCCGAGGATCCAAAGCCCAAGAAAAATCTGGCTCGTAAGCCAAATAAAGACACTGCCATCCTGCCTGCGGAGGTAGTTCAACGGCTAAGAGAGGAAGAAGAAGAAAATAAAGACGATGGCTCTGAGCTATTGGCTCGAGTGAAGAGGGACACCGAGGCCCCAAAGGCCTCTGAGTCAGTGAGGGTTGGAGAGATTTAGCCCCGAATCGAGGGGGTCTTGGAAGAGGACCCGGGCAAAGTCCCCGAGTTGTTAGAGACCGAAGACGTCTCCTACCGAAATGAGCAGTCGGCGGGCATGTCCGAAGGGGCCAACTCCGAGGCCCTTCGAAATGAAGAGAACGCCCCAAGTGACTCACTTGGGGCAATAGAAATCGGAGACTCCCCACTGCTTCCTTTATTCTCAGAAGGGGAAGTTCGGGAGGCTCAGGTCGTGAAGGCCCCTCAGGTAGAAGGCGCCCTCAGAAGGGAGGACCTTTTCCAAGGTTGTTTTGCTGCGGTTGATGATGTCGCTGGCTTGAATAACTTGGAAGAACCGAGAAGGAGTTTGGGCGAATCTTCCTCGAGTTTCAGATTGACCAGCCCATTTCTGGCCCCTATTGTTGATCCCGAGTGCAAACGAACTATCATTATTACGATCCCAGAGGATGCACGAGTTTTTGCCGCCCCCGTAGGGGTGTCCAGTTACCTTCAAGGTCTGGTCACCGAGGAAGATCAAGCTCTGATGGATGAGGTGGGAGCAGTGTGTCTCTTCAATGAGGCCCAGCAAGCTTTGAATCGGGTAAGCCCTAACTTTCTTTGTTAATGTTACTCTACATACTTGTGTTTTTCTCTCCTTGCCTAATCCTTTCCCTTCTATTTGTGTAGGGCTCGGTACTTCATCATGAGGATTTATTTAAGTCTCGAAGAGAATTAAGCCGATATGAGGCTGAAATTCGTGGGCTTACCAAGGAGAAAAATGCTCTCAGGCTTCTCGGTGAGCATAGAGAAAAGGAAATCAAAGGCCTTCGAGCTGAGTTGGTCGTGGCCCA